TTATCCAGCGGATATTGGCAATTTGGTCTCTCGTTCCTCTCCCTTTTCTAAACCCAGCTTGAACATCTGGCAGCTCTTGCTCCATGTATTGCTGGAGTCTTCCTTGCAGGATCGTGAGCATTACCTTACTGGCATGAGAAATAAGGGCCACTGTACGGAAGTTTGAGCAGTCTTTCGCATTTCCCTTTTTTGGTATGGGGATATAAGTTGATTTTTTCCAGTCTGATGGCCATTCTTGTGTTTTCCATATTTGCTGGCAAATGGCATGCATCACCTTGACAGCATCATCTTTTAAGATTTTAAACAGTTCAGCTGGGATCCCGTCGTCTCCTGCTGCCTTGTTGTTAGCAATGCTTCTTAAGGCCCATTCAACCTCACTCCTCAGGATGTCTGGTTCTAATTCATTCACCACACCGTGAAAACTATCCTCAATATTATTATCCTTCCTATACAGATCTTCTGTATAGTCTCGCCACCTTCTCTTGATCTCTTCAGCTTCTGTTAGGTCCCTGCCATCTTTGTTTCTTATCATACCAATTTGTTTCTTATCATACATGATAAGAATTTGTTTCTTATCATACATGAGTCTACACTGACCATATACTGATGTTCCAAACTGCATTATATGGCAGTGTATAGATCATGGAATAATGTATACAAAATTCATGTAAAAATGAAATATTTTCAAATGTGAGACAGGACAAAAATATTATTTACTGTCTAAACACATTAAAACCAAGCTAGGTAGCAGCACATGTTGCAAGTCAAAGGCAATCCATGGAAGAAGCAGCCCAGAAGGAGATAAGAAACTTGGAAATAGGGTGAAATCATATTGGAGACTTTAAAAGTGTAAACTTTCTTACGAAAGGAGTTAGCACTTTCCATCTGAACCATCTGAAGGCATATTTGGTTGTGCATTCAGTTGCTCCATATTCATTTGTGCACTCAGATACATTTATATTAATGCCCACTGCATTGCCATTTGACCAAGCATTCAGCAGCACAATCAATGTGCATATTCCCAAATGGCGATATACGTAGCAATTGAAATATAAGATCTTGGATTATATCTCTACCTACAGACACATCTACACTGTAGAATAAATGCAGTTTGACTCCATTTTAACAGGACTCAGTGCTATGGAATTTGGGGAGTTGTAGTTGGGGAGAGAAGGCTAAAGACCTTGGAAAATGACAGTACCCGGGATTCTATAGCATTGAACCCTGGCAGCAGAAGTGGTGTCAAACTGCATTTGTTCTACAGTGTAGATGCACAACGTACCTATGGAAATGTCTGGGTTTATAGAATTAAGAACATAATAAATGAGTGAGCCAGCATGGAAGACTGGGAGATGCTCTGACTTCTCAGGAAACCATTAAAGGATCAGCCTCCTCTGCAAACGAAATACAAAATGGGTGTTTCCCAAAGGTTCTCAGACACTCTTTTAGATAACACTGGAAGCATCATCACCATGTTTTAGCTTACGTGGGCCATTAACAAGACTTGAACATAATCAATTTATTGTGCATTTTCTATTCTTTAAAAGACCAATTCTAGGCTTAAATTGGCCAGCTACCTCTCTGAGGTGAAGATGATAATGATGGTGATGATGACGACAACAACAAGAACAACAAGAACAAGAACAACAACTTTATTTTGTACCCTGCCTCCATCTCCCTGAAGGGACTTGAGTTGGCTTACATATGGCACAAAATGCCTCCAGCCACCCCATCCATCTCCAAGAGGAGATTTTGGAATATTGTGTCCAATTCTGGGCACCACAATTGCAGAGAGATATTGACAAGCTGGAATGTGTCCAGAGGATTGAACTTATCCTCTGCTCCTCCCCAGTAGCATTTTGGCCATCTTCCGACCTGGGAGTCCCATCTTCCAATGGCATACCGACATATCTCTGGTTGTACTGGTCCATTTAGTTTTCTTGACAAGGATACTGGAGTGGTTTGCCATTGCCTTCCCCAGGGATCACGCTTGGTCTGACCTCTCTGCCACAACCGTCCCGTCTTGGGTGGCCCTTCACGGTTTCGCTCATGACATCATTGAGGTGCTCAAGCTCCAGCGCCCCGACAAGGCGGTGATCCTTTGCTGGAGAAGCTGTTAATAGTTTAGTATTATTGAAGAAAGAATTTACTGTATATCATTATGTCCAAATCATGATTCCTCTCTTGCATTTCATAAAGCTTGTGTAATTCTGTATAACCAAACCATTTTTATCATCCTTCCCATTCTTATTTAGCGACATTGATGTATCAAAATGCCACAACCTTTTGGAAATTCCAGTGCACCATAACCTTATTGTAAAGGTACAATGATGTCACATTCATTTGGCAAATGGGAATCTCCATGAACATAGAGACCACCTGAAAACCCACTAGTCTATTTATTTATTTCAAATATTTGTACCCCGCCCCTTCTCACACACACACACACACACACACACACACACACACACTGGGGGGGGGGGGCTCAAGGCAGCTTACATCCGGCACAATTCAATGCCATTACATATAAATAATACATACAGTAATTACATAAGAAGCACAGTAAATTAATTTTAAAATTAGTGTTAAAATAAAAAGTACATTAATGAAAAGTGCGAGAATACTGGCTGCCTAGCCTTACGTGGTCAAGAAGGGAATGACCTTGTTAGAGGTTAACCCTTAAGACAGTGGTTCGCAACCATCCTAATGCCGCGACCCCTTCATACAGTCCTTCATTTGTGGTGACCCCCAACCATAAACTGTCATTTTGCTACTGTTATGAATCATAATGTAAATATCTGATGTGCAGCATGTATTTTCATTCACTGGACCAAATTTGGCACATATGATATGCCCAAATTTCAATATTGGTGGGGTTGGGGGTGGGGGGACAGACTGATTGTGTCATTTGGGAGTTGTAGTTGCTGAGATTTATAGTTAAACTACAATCAAAGAGCATTCTGAACTCCACCAAGGAATTGAAACAAACTTGGCACACAGAACTCCCATGACCAACAGAAAATACTGGAAGGGTTTGGTGGGCATTGACCTTGAGTTTTGGAGTTGTAGTTCACTTACATCCAGAGAGCACTGTGGACTCATACAATGATGGATTTGGACTAAACTTGGAACAAATACTCAATATGCTCACATGTGAACACTAGCGGAGTTTGGGAAAAAGAGGCCTTGACATTTGGGAGCTCTAGTTGCTGGGATATATAGTTCACCTACACTCAAAGTGCCCCTTGAATCCCACCAATTATAGAATTGGGCCAAACTTCCCACATAGAACCCCCATGATCAACAGAAAATACTGCAGGGATTTGGGAGGAATTGACAGTGATTTAGGGGAGATGTAGTTCACCTACCACCAGAGAGCACTGTGTTCCTAAGACCATCGAAAATATGTGTTTTCTGATGGTCTTTGGTGACCCCTCTGACACCCTCTCGCGACCCCCTCAGGGGTCCCGACCCACAGGTTGAGAAACGCTGCCTTAAGACAAGTGATATTCATAAAATTAATGTAATAGCACACAGGCAGCTCAGCTGTTAGACCCAAAGCACCATGTCCTTAAACAGCCAAGGATAAAGACAGGCCACTACAAAAATATATTTGGTTAGCAGAGGATGGATGTTTCATCAAAGTGGAATTTGCAGTTGTCATTTGCTGTTGCCCAAAAGATATATTTATTTACTATTCTTTAGTAAATAAAGGGAATATGCGTTCCCTTAAAACCTTTTATTTAAAACATGCACTCAAGACACAAAACAAGGCGGTCTTCTTGGAAAAAGAACGTATCAGGTTTACTAACAGACTTGTCTACATTCCCCAGGCAGGCGCATCGTCTTTGTGTGTCTTGAAGTGTATCGCGGGACTCACCCACATCCACAAGCGGACACACCTGCCTCCAAAGAGGGGGCAAACAGACTGATCACACCGAAGCCCAGGAGCACAAACACCCCCTCCCTGAAGCCCAAAAGCACACTGAACACAAACCGGGGTGCCCACGTCTGCACACGCTCAGAACCGTCATGGCTATAGCTCCTCCCACACCAAAGAGGAAGGCCAAACTGGGAAATCAACATACACACAGAATACTGGCTAACCATTGTATACATTAACAAAAAGTCAGTGGAGGCTTCTGGGAGGTTGCTGTTCCCAACAGCCATTACTCAGAATTTCTTAAATCTTGGGTAAGGACATAATACAAAACACACACACACAAGTAATAGTGATATCCTTTTTCACCCACAGTTCTTGAGCTCTTCTTGCCATTTTTTGTATTCTTTTAATTTAAATGGTTGAAATTATTCAAAGCCAAATTTAATTCATTTGATTTGGCCATTTCCTTATTGTACATCTTCCCTCTTTGTGCCCCACACATCTTATGTAATTCTATATGACCAATCCAAAAGTTTGTATAATCCTTCCCAATCTTCTTCAATGTTCAATGTATTGTCGAAGGCTTCCATGGCCGGAATCACTGGGTTGTTGTAGGTTTTTTCGGGCTGTATGGCCATGGTCTAGAGGCATTCTCTCCTGACGTTTCGCCTGCATCTATGGCAAGCATCCTCAGAGGTAGTGAGGTCTAATGGAACTATGCCATGTGCCATGTGTTTATAGGTTTTCTCCCTAGTGTTCTCCTCTATGTTGATGTTTATGTAGATGCTTACTGTGAGTGAAGCTTTTTCCACACTTGAGGCATGTATGGGGTTAATCCCCAGTTTGAGTCCTTCGATGACCATTCTTACTTGAACAAGTGAAGCTCATTCAACACTCCAGGCATTTATAGGATTTCTCCCCAGAGTGAGTCCTTTGATGCCTATGTAGAGCTCCACTGTGAGCAAACCTATTTCCACACTCCAGGCATTTATACGGCTTCTCCCCAGTGTGAATCCTTTGATGCAAGCGCAGATATGAACTATCAGTGAAGCTCTGTCCACACTCCAGGCATTTATAGGGTTTCTCCCCAGTGTGAGTCCTTTGATGTGAATTTAGATGTCCCCTCAGAGTGAAACTGTGTCCACACTCGAGGCATGTATAAGGTTTCTCCCCAGTGTGACTCCTTTGATGTGAACGTAGATTTCCAATCTCAGTGAAGCTCCGTCCACACTCAAGGCATGTATAGGGTTTCTCCCCAGTGTGAGTCCTTTGATGCGAACATAAACCTGAACGACGAGTGAAGCTCCGCCCACACTCCAGGCATGTATAAGGTTTCTCCCCTGTGTGAATTCTTTGATGTTTATATAGATTTGAACTATCAGTGAAACTCTGTCCGCACTCCAGGCATGTATAGCGTTTCACTCCAGTGTGAGTCCACTGATGGGAACGCAGGCCGGTACTATTAGCAAAGCTCTGTCCACACTCCAGGCATTTATAGGGTTTCTCCCCAGTGTGAGTCCTTTGATGCCTACGCAGAGCTTCACTTTGAGCAAAGTTATTTCCACACTCCAGGCATGTATAGGGCTTCTCCCCAGAGTGAGTCCTTTGATGCTTACGTAGACCTCCACTATGACCAAAACTATTTCCACACTCCAGGCATTTATAGGGTTTCTCCCCACTATGAATCCTTTGATGTGAACGTAGACCTGAACTATCAGTGAACCTCTGTCCACACTCCAGGCATTTATAGGGTTTCTCTCCAGTGTGAGTCCTATGATGCGAATATAAATTTGTACGGTGAGTGAAGCTCTTTCCACACTCCAGGCATTTATAGGGTTTCTCCCCAGTGTGAGTCCTTTGATGTGATCGTAGATTTCCTCTCTGAGTGAAGCTCCGTCCACACTCCCGGCATTCATAAGGTTTCTCCCCAGTATGAATCCTTTGATGGGAACGTAGAGGTCCATTCTCGGTGAAGCTCCGTCCACATTCTGGGCACGTATAGGGTTTCTCCCCAGTGTGAGTCCTTTGATGCGATCGTAAACCTGAAGGACGAGAGAAGCTCTTTCCACACTCCAGGCACGTATAGGGTTTCTCCCCAGTGGGAGTCCTTTGATGTAAATGTAAACATCTACTGCGGGAGAAGTTTTTTCCACACTCCAGGCATTTTGATGTTTCCTCCATGTCAACAGTGATATGGGTGTTTAAATACAAAACAGATAGTTGACTCTTCTTTTTTAATGTCTTATCTGGAAGTAAGGTCAAGAATTCAGCAAGAATATCACCTTGAGAGGATTACGTCTTCTTATAGTTTTGGTTTCCTTGCTGTATCCAAGAGGTGGCTCCAAAAAGTCCTCATTTCCCTGGGCAAAAAAGAAGCAAAGGATTAAAGATGAGAGCCAGAAACCTTCTTTACCACCACCCCGTCCCATCCCCCCTTTACCTTTCATAGAGATGTGCTAAAGACGGAGATGTCCATTCCAGCAAATTCCACGTAATCTCACCCAGGACAACCCAGGAAGTTGCATCAAACTTCTGAGCAGGAAATGGACTTCTCTAAGTGTGATGCAACTTCCTGGGTTGTCCTGGGTGAGATTACGTGAGAGCCATGAGGCATGCCATCACTATGTTTTGACCAATCTTTAGCTGGTAGTATACCAGGACAGTTTGGAAGTTTTGGACTGCAAATAATGTGTAAATAAAGATAAGAGCCATTCTCCTCTTTGAACTGATGACGGCTGAGAGTGGACTGATTTATGGATTCCCCGTGCTCTTAGGCAGGAGATTCCCGATTCGAGAAGTATGAGGAGGAGGAACGCAAGAAGGCAGGATTTGTGGCCTTCCGTGCCTCTTACCACAACTTCAACGTATGGCACTGCCCAAAATCTCCTGCCCTCAGGGCTTTCTTCCTAAAGATTTGCTGGAATCACTTTTCCTGCCCATTGAAGTCATTGCTCCACCGTCTTCTAATCTCTGATGCAACACAAAACACGTTTTCCCTAAGGTTCAATTCTAAAATGATAAGCCAACCCCTAAATAAGTCCCATCAATTCAATGGGTATTTCTGGTTTAGCAACAGAATTCAGGCCAGTGTTTTCAAATTGCCAGTTTGTTCACCCTAGACTGTACCTTCGTTGCCTCTTTCCTTCTTTCAGAAGCCAAGTGTAGTTTCTATTTCTGCTTTCTCCTTCGGCTTTGAGATGCAGCGTGACCTAGAGAGTCATAGAATCCTCAAGTTGGAGGAGACCTCAGGCCCTCATCCAGTCCAACCCCATTCTGCCAAGAAGCAGGAATATTGCATTCAAAGCACCCCTGACAGATGGCCATCCAGCCTCTGTTTCAAAGCTTCCAAAGAAGGAGCCTCCACCACACTCCCTCCGGGGAAGGCAGAGAGTTCCACTGCTGAACGGCTCTCACAGTCAGGAAGTTCTTCCTCATGTTCAGATGGAATCTCCTCTCTTGTAGTTTGAAGCCATTGTTCCTGCGTCCTAGTCTCCAGGGAAGCAGAAAACAAGCTTGCTCCCTCCTCCTCCCTGTGGCTTCCTCTCACATATTTATACATGGCTATCATATCTCCTCTCAGCCTTCTCTTCTTCAGGCTAAACATGCCCAGCTCCTCAAGCCGCTCCTCATAGGGCTTGTTCTCCAGACCCTTGATCATTTTAGTCGCCCTCCTCTGGACACATTCCAGCTTGTCAATATCTCTCTTGAATTGTGGTGCCCAGAATTGGACACAGTATTCCAGGTGTGGTCTAACCAAGGCAGAATAGAGCATGGGGAGCAGGACACTAGGCTCCTCTTGATGCCTGAGGCCAAAATGCCGCCACATCCCATTCCTGGCTCATGTTCCCCTTTCTTCCTCCCCACGAGGACTCCAAGATCTTTTCCCCACGTCCTGCTCTCGAGCCAGGCCTCATCGTCCCCCACTCTGTCTCTTTGCATTTCGTTTTTTCTGCCTAAGTGGAGTCTCTTGCATACATCAATCATGGGCCCTTGGCACAGCCTGTTGATTCACTGCAACTAACATTCCTCCAATATTTCCCTTTCTCGGTGACACTCCATTCCAGGAGATTGCTGTTCTCTGCTGGTTTCCAGCCCAGCTGTCACTCTCAGGGATCTTGGGATCTGCAGTTCGTCAGTGGGTGCAAGGCAGTTGCGGTGGGCGTAACCTGTGTCAGGGGTTCCCTCAAAAAGGCCTTGGCATTCCCCTGGATTTGTAGTCACACACCCTCGAACTACAACATGCCCTTTCGTACAGTTGTGCTGACCTGCTCTCCCCCGGCCTCTCTCTGCACTTCTCGAATCAAGTGGACTGAGACACCACCCTTCAGCCACGAGCCCGTGGCAGGTCCAGATGTAGTCTGGGTTTTCGTTATAAACAGGTACTTACACTCACGGCAGAAGAGAAAGATCACTTGCCTAAAGGTGTTGCTCACCTCTGTGTTGACCCCCCAGGCATGACCTCTGTCTCCCTTGACCGGGAGTGTTGTCCTGGCCCAACCCCTCTGGGCCCTGGGGGATCTCAGCCCTTGAAATGGACGTGGACGGTCAGCTCCAGCTCCCCACGCGAAGGGGGCGCGAGAGAAGCCTCCCGCAGGAAGGATGGCAAGGCATCACCACACGTCCAAGCACCCCCTGGGTGGCGTCCTTGCAGGCGGCCAATTCTCTCACACCAGAAGCAACTTGCAGATTCTGAAGTTGCTTCTGACACGACAACAAAGGTTTCTATTGGTGAGTTGTGTTGATGTAGATGAGCTCCCGGGGCAAGTCAGGAGGGGAGCCTGCGTTCTTCATCCCTGCCCTGCCCCATAGCTGGTCCCCCAGGCAGGGAGGAGGGGCCCTTGACCTCAAATGCAGACCATTATTATCGTTATTATTATTATTATTATTTATTGTTAACTTTATTTGTACCCCGCTAGCATCTCCCGAAGGACTCGATGTGGCTTACAAAGGCCAAGGCCTCGAGGACAACAACAACAGACAATAACAATACAATGCAAGCAAATTAAAAACATAAGCAATAACAACAACACAACATTACACTATTACGCAATAATAAAAACCAGGGCCAGGCCAATGAGTAATGGGTACAGGATTCAAAGTGCTGATGTGACAGGAGATGTGACGAGGATTATGTAGATGTGACAAGGCATCGAATTGTGCCTTTCTCTGTAAGCCGCCCCGAGTTCCCCCCCCCTCCGGGGGTGAGAAGGGCGGGGTCAAAGTGACGGAAATAAATAAAACCAATCATAGGGCAAGTGCGGTGTGCGGCAATCTTAATTTCTACTAAAGTGCTTCTGGGAGTTGGTAGTGGAGATTTCCTATTCTGGGAAGGCACATCGGAACAGCCAGGCCTTCAAGTTCTTCCTGAAGACTGCCAACGGAGGAGGGGCCTGCCTAATGTCTTTGGGGAGGGTGTTCTAGAGGCGGGGGGGCCACCACAGAGAAGGCCCTGCCTCTGCCTCCCTCAGGGAGAGGAGCCTTCCATCACCATTGTAAAGAAACACTAGGAAGGCCACTGCTGGCAAGGCCTGGGCAGGCTTGGGCCTCCCTCCCTCCCTCCCTCCCTCCCCCCCGCCTGCCCGCCCCCTTCCTTTTTTCCCCCTGCCTCGGCCGCTTCAGCGAAAGGGAGGGAGGGAGGGAGGGAGGGAAGGGGGAGGCCCCAGTCGGCCCAGGACTGCCTGCCTAACTGGGGGATGCTCCCGGCCCCAGGAGAGCCCTCCTCCTCCTCCTCCTCCTCCTCCTCCCGCAAGGGCGCCTCCCCCGCTGCCTCACCTCCTCCTCCTCCTTCCCGCCTTCCTTCTCTTCTTCCGCCCCAAAGGGCGGGGGCGGGGCCAGCGGTGACGTCACTCTCTCTCTCTCTCTCTCTCTCCCTCCCTCCCTCCCTCGCGGAGTGTCAATCAAAGGCGCCGAGCGGCGGGCGGGCGGGCGGGCAGCCAATGGGGGGCTCCTCCTCCGGTGGGAGGAAGAGGGGGCGTGGCTTCTTCTTCTTCTCCGTCTTGCTCAGCAGAGCCCCCCTCCCTCCCTCCCCCCCTCCCTCTCCCGCCGCCATTTTGTTCTCTCTGAAGGCGGAAAGCGGCCGCGGCAGCAGCAGCAGCGGGTGAAGCAGACCGAGAGAGAGAGAGAGAGAGAGAGAGAGGGGGGGGAGGTGTGTGTCTACATGGGTCTCCTTCCCTCGGGAGGGGAGCGGGACCCGAATCCCCTGCTGGCAGACAAGGCCTCTCCCCCTCAGAGTGGGAGGCCCTTCCTTCGAGGCCCGCCTTTCCAGACCACCCTCCAGCACGGCCTCCTCCACGCAGGCTCTGCTCCGCCCTGGCTGGGCTTCCTTGCTGGGCCCGCGGAGGAGCCTCCCTCCCTCCCTCGGGGGGGCCTCCTCCTCCTCCTCTGCGGCCGGCCAGGGGTGTGTGTGTGTGTGTGTTCCCGTGAGGCTTGTCCAGGTGACTTTCCCTCCCTCCCCCCCCCTCTCTCTCTCTCTCTCTCTCTCTCTCTGTGTGGCCTGCCTGGCTTGGCCTTCCCGCTCGCCCCCTGGCCCCCCTCCCTGCCAGGCAGGCAGGCCGGCCACACACACACAGAGAGAGAGAGAAGAGGCCGTGGAAGTCCACGAGAAGAAGCAGCAGAAGCAGAAGCAGGCGGGGAATTGCAAGAGATTTCGCCCAGGCAGGCAGGCAGGCCTCCCTCCTTCCCTCCTCAGGGGTGGCCCCGGTTAGCATTGCACTGTGTGTGTCTTGTCCTGAGGGACTGATTGATTTATTATTTTATTATTATTTATTTCAGTTACTTTTACCCCGCCCTTCTCACACACACACCCCCCCCCGAGGGGGGACTCAGGGCGGCTTACAAAGGAAGGCACAATTCGACGCCTGTGTCAATTCATAATGGGTTGCTGCGTTGGAGGTCAAGTGCCCCTCCTCCCTGGGCAGGCATGTAGCCGGGGGGGTGGGGCTTGAGGGGCTTCACCCCCCCCCCCCGAAATTCTGATGGTGGTCCTCAAGAAGGCCTTCCTGGTGCATTATCTAAACTGTTACGTTTGTTCAGATCATGCTCCATATATCCCATATGCAATGCATATCCCATATATATCCCATATATATCACCATGCTCCATATATCCCATATGCATGGGGGGAGGCATTATTGGGGTAGCGATACACAAGGTTTGCTCGGGTAGACCCTCTTTCACTCAGGCTCAGCCCCCCGCCAACCAAACTCAGCCCCCCCCCCCCACTCAAAATCCTGGCTACGGGCCTGTCCCTGGGCAACCAGCTATGTCCCTCAGAGTGTTGGAGGGCCAGAATACAGTTTACACAGGGTATTGAGAAACATGTATTTCTAATTACAAATCAATGAAACGTTGACTTCAA